TCTCTCCACGATTCTAGTTAAGCACCGGGTACGATTCTTTATTAAATTTTGTTTATATCACATTGTTTAGAGAAAAAAAAGTGATTTGTTGCTCTATCCGCCTAAAATACGGGAGACCTTGAATTGTAACGCATTGAGATGCGATGAAGTTCAGCGCAAACTTCATAATGAAAAAAAAAAAATTAAGCGGTCGTTTAATGCGCGAGGAACCCAAGTTTCAAACCTTTTTATTTTTCCAGCGCCAAAGCGTTGAGGTAGTCAGGAATAATCAGTTTGGTAACTGAGAGTTTCTTTGCGATTTGTCGAACAGTTGTTCGGAGATTTTCTGTCATCGAGAGAAGAAGTCCTTTCAGAACCATCTTTGTCTTCAAGGCTGAAGTTTCCTCCTCAAAATGCTTTAAACCATTTAAAAATGCTTCAACGGTGCACTCTCCCACATTGCAATCGCTCCACACTTTATATTTTATATATCTTGTCTTTAGGACTCCGTTCCGATCGAGTTTAAACTCGTAAAACGAAATTATGCGAATAAAAAACATGAAAATATTAGTAAAGACTAAATTATTTCCAAATAGTAAAGTGCTACAGAGGATGAAAACATATTTGTTTAGAAGAGGAAAGAAAGAAAGAAAGAAAAATAAATTTTATTCTGGGACAATTAGACTCCTTAGAACAATTATAATGTACACAAAGATGCAAATTGGCATATTTTTTTTTAAATTCTTATTTATGAAATTTACAACTGTACAAGTTAATATACATTCAGCAAATGTGATACAAAGAAAATATGACATGGCAAGGCTTGTAGAGAATCTACCCATAAATTGGTAGCACCCTAATAAAGTATTTAAGTTAGGGGATCACGAGGCCATTTTCTTTTCAGACGCCCAGGAGGGTTATCAGGGATCGAGGAGGAAGCAAGGTTAGAAACGAGAGGATATTATGGCCATGTATATGAGTCTTTTGTAATTAATTGAAAGGTTAGAGCGTTTGTCTAGGAAGTGCTGAAGTAGTCGGAAACGTCGAGCGGTTTCTTGTCGTTTCAGTCTGGTATGAGGATTCCAAGTTATACGTTTGTCCAGGTGGAGTCCTAGGTAACGGTTTGCTCAACAGGGATAAGTGGAGTATTATTAAAGGATACTGTAGGATAGGAAGTCATAGATTTACGAAGAAGGCATAAAAAATAAGACAATTTTTAGCTAACACAACATAATAATCTAACCTTATAATTCAAATAAATTACGTACGAGTAAACATTTTGATAAACACATTCTGATTAACAATATTGATGATATGTAAGCAATGGTAACATAGCAGTCAAATGGGAGTGACAGCTCTTTAATACGAAATTTTAGATTGCATTAAGGAAGAGGATTTGCTTCGTAAGATAGGTAGTGAATTCCAAAAAAAGTTAGCACCCATGATAAAGGATTTTTTAAAGGAAACAAAGAAAGAAAAGGTTCTATGAAAGGGAAGAAACAGGTTTATGGACTGGGATGTTAAACGGATGAACAGAGGAACAAGGAATAAACAAATCAATAAGTTAAGATGGTTTTTTTGGTTGTAAAGGTTCGGAAAAGGAATACACCCAGAAAATATTGCTGGAAATCTGGATAGAGCCACTTCAACTCAGCAACCAACTGGAGACGTGGGGGCGCCTGGAGACTCTAAAAATGAGTCGAATGAAACAATTCATTAATCTTTTCAATCCGATCTCAACCCCACCAGACAGTCCACCGTATACAAGGCAACCATAATCGAAGTGAGGAAAGATGAGTGAGGAGTTGGTTGATAACTAGGAGTTGACGGTTTTTTTAGGGGCATAGAATCACGGAATCTCAGGAAATGTTTAGGGTAGCAATAGAATTTCAAGTAATTTGGGAGACATGATTATTCCAGGACAGGTATTGATCGAAAATTACTCCGAGATTTCTGACAGAAGTATGGAAACGAATAGGTAGTTCCTTGAGGTAGAGTAGGGTATAATATGGAATAGAATTATTAAGATACTTGGAACCAATGAGAATGTCTTTATTCTTCAACTAATGTCTTAGTTCAACTTTAAATCATTCCTCGCTGCCCAAGTAGTAATACCATTTATGTATTCTTGTAGTCTTCGGATCGTCTCATGCATCTCAGTAGGATAAAAGGAAAGGTATAAGAGGATTATTATGTTTTGACATCAATACAAAACAATAATTCCTCAAACGCTATAGAGGATTGATATAAAGAAAAAAATGAAATCCTGCATTATTTTCCAGACATCCCAATATTTTCTGTCAATTTTGCAAGAAAAAAGTAAGTTATAATTGTCATTGTAGATAAAATTAATTGTTTTTCGATTACCTCCTATGGATGTTTGACAGGCTGTTAACAAGCAGCTCGCCTGCGCATCTACATAAACCTCATGGATATATTGCAATGTGTGGAACCAGGCTTAAGTCGTTTAACAGCTTATAAGTATAATAACGCATGAAAAAAATATTACACTAATTAGATGAAATAAATCTCAGCTGTAAATTAATTCATTATAAATACAAAAATTATTTAACGCACACACAAATATACTATTAATGCGAAATCCATTTACAAATTTAATATTCATTTTTGAAAAATAAAAGTACTACATAAATAAATATCGTGTTGATATCTTGAAAATATTGTGATGAAGCAATGAATTTAAAAAATATATACATGGGTGGATCAAGACAACTCAACGCTTAACGTTAACAAGTTAACGCCCTAAGCCTTAAATTTTTACAATAAAAAAAACCAATAAAACATTTTCAAGAAAACTTAAATTAACAGGATAAAAAAAATTAAACTTAGAGCCATTAATTTAAAATCGAGTTTTTAGATTTTTCGATTACCCTTTAGAGGTTTTTTGGAAATTTTCGATGATTTCCAAAATCTTCAATTAAGATATTTTAAAAGGTGGGACCCCTTCGGGAGTCCACGGGAACCCCAATCCGGGTCCCTAAGCGGACGCTTATCCCGCTTAGCGCTTAATCCTCTCCTGCATAGCTTCCTAAATTATAATTTTAGAATTGTATTTTCAAACTTCTAAAGAAAATTGTTTGTGGTTGAATGGAAACATAATACTAATATGCCCACTTCCGTCATACGACGATTTTATTTTAATCAGTCTTGAAATATTGGAATGGTTTGAATTAAATTTATTTTTTTTAAATAAAAGTATTCAAATAAAAAGTAATCTATGTTTCCGGAGTTTAGCTGAAATTGGTTAACTATTGATAATTGCAAGTGCCTTACTCATCATTCCCTTCGATCACTTTAGAGATGGCTAAGTAGTTGACTGTTCAAATTATAAGGATGAATAAAATTCGTCGGAATTTCTAGACACGATTTTCAACAAAACAGTTCATTTAATGCAAAACATTTACTTAGATCAATGATAAAAAGCACTTCTAGGAAGTGTAATACGACCGCAATACTGCTACGCACGAATCGGGAATACTGAGATGTGTTGCTTGTGTATCGGTATTGAAACAGCAGGAGTAGTGTTGCCCAAAAAAAAGACCAAGGCTGTCTAACTGTTGCAACACCAAGACTAGGAATGGTAAAAAAAAAATCGATTTTTTAAATAAAAATTAAGACAAAATAGTTACTTGACAGTCTTAGTTACTATATGTTAATAATTGGTATTACCAATATACTTTTACATTTAACTCCTCTAATTTTTCATTCGGGCTTTGGTAGATTTCTCCTATCTAAAAAAATATAGTAACATCTCTATAGTAATAAACTAATAAGTAACTGCAAGTCTGTTGCGAGACTCTTGCACAAGACCAAGACCATGACCGAGACTAAGTTTGCAAGACCAAGACCTGTCTCGGTTTCGCATTTGGGCAACACTTAGCAGGAGTACAGCTGCCGTATTAGACCACTTGAAAGTGCTTTTTATCATTGACCTTAGTGAATTTATTCACAGATTTCTCAAAGAAAATTTTATCTACTTTACGGTGGTGTACTTAATTATATTGAATAGTTTTTGAACAATTCCTTCTAATTCAATAAAAAAACGTGACCACCTTAACGAAGACACAAAATTTGTCTCAACGGAATCGGCACATGTATCAAATAAACTTTTTTGTTAGTAATTGGGTCTAAAAGCACCCCCTTCCCTCCCCCCCATAGTTTGGCCATTAAGAACTGTATAAGCACAAAAGTGATAAAAATATGAGGAAATTGAATCTGTGTTATAAATAAATGACATTACTTACTTATTTATTGAAAAATATTACAATCTGTCTCTAGGACATTTATAATAGAGATAAATAAATGAAAAAGATAAGCAAAATATATAGAAATTGAGTATAACAAATATAAATAGTTTCTTAACAGCTACCAATGGTTAATTAAATTCTGACTAATTTTTTTTATACTTAATTTGAGCAGTCAACTACTTAGCCATCTCTAAAGTATACAAAGAGAATCATGAGTCAGGTACATGCAATTATCAATACATAACCGATTTCAGCAAAACTCCGGTACCATAGATTACTTTCTATTTTAATACTTATATTTTTATAAAAATTAAATTCAAACCATTCCAATATTTGAAAATTAATTGAAATCAAAACGTCGTATGACGGAAGTGGGCATATTAATAATATGTTTCAATTCAACAACAAACAATTTTCTTTAGAGTATCTTTTTTATAAAAGTAATGTTTTTTAATCGTAAATTCAATTTTTCGACTTGAAATCCACGGGTAACTGACTATTTATTACATGTCTTAAGACTGCAAATACTATGTTCATTGCCTTTAAAGGAAGTACTGTTAGGCCCAATCACCTCATCCGCCAGGAGGTCATAATTTGTTTGTGTGTTTATAAATTTGTAATTATAATTACAATTTATAATAATTCAATTATAAATTGAAGATATAAATAAATGATTATTTGTATTCCAGCTAACTTCTCAGTACGGAGGATCGGGTGGTTCGGCCAGTTCTGGGGTGTCTCCCCTACCTCAAGATGATGAAGCACCTACTGGGAATGCAAATCAACCCAAGCAGAGCGAAGAAACCAGACCTAAAACAGACAAGACAGAAACAGGTATACACAACTTTAACTTAATAGAAAATAATAATTATGACCTCCGTTACACAAAATTGTGTATTTATTAGGTTATTTTTGGAAAATTCTATTAGGAATTCCGCAAATCAAAGTTAATTACTAACTTATTATAGATGTAATGAAAAATTTCTGCAACTTCAGAACGAAAAACAGTCACCGGTATTTTTATATATTTAGTAAGCATCGTTGCCAGTTATGAGAGATACAATAACTAGAAAATCATTTCCTTGCGGCGTAAGGAAAGTGAAGCTAATGCAATTACTCAATGTTTAAATAACTTTAACTTGTTTCTTAAAGTAACTTGAGACGTTACTTTAGAGCTTTTCAAAAATAACCTAATTTTAGTCATCCATGTAGCTAATTTGAGTTTCACTCGGTTTTTAATGTTTAAATATTTTTATAACTGACTGCATTAAACATGGCGAAATAATATTTTTATCAAATTATTTCCCCAAAAAATTGTGTATTTTATTTTTTCTGATGATATTGTGGTTAAGAAAATGTCATGCTTCAAAAAGAATAAGTTTCGTTTTGTTCACCGTCTTTCAACGCTACAAGTATATTAAGTTGGATGGTATTTTATTTTACAGCAATCAGCGATTTAAATTTAAAGAAATATGGACTTGAAGATTTCAACTTCATAAAAGTATTGGGAAAGGGAAGCTTCGGAAAAGTCATGCTTGCAGAAAAAAAAGGAACAGATGAAGTCTATGCTGTTAAGGTAATTTTAATTTATGATTTTATTTAGTTGTAAAATGAAAATTATTATTTAAATATTTAAATAATTTGGGCTGTTATTTTTCCACCATATATTTATTCATTCTATGTTTTCTATTTTCATGGCAACGTTTCGGCCGTTACGCCATCTGAAAGCCAATCTAAAAAGATGATTTAATTTATTTCTCAATGCTGCATAGTTGGATTACTGTATACAAGTCTTGTATAATGGATAAAGTAGGCAGGCATAATGGATTACTTGCATATAGTAACTCAATTATGAAGCATTGAGAAATAAAATAATAACCATATTTTTAGATTGGCTTAAAGATGGCGTAACGGCCGGAATGCTGCCATTAAAATAGAGATCATGGAATGAATAAATATATAACGGATAACAGCCCAAACAATTCTTATACCAATTTCTATTTAATTTTTTTTTTTTTTTTGCGAAAAATTCTGAAGAATGAAATATAATAGTTTCAATATTAATTACGTGTTTTATTTTTGAGAATTGGAATCAGCTACTTTAAGTTATCTTTTCTTATAATATAATGAAGAATTCCTGACTTCAGGGAATGAATGATGTAGGTGTTTATTTTGCATGGTACAGGACAGTTAGTTGTGAATAAAAATTTTTTTTTGTTCTCCCCTACCTCGCCTTTTAGGCTATACCATGTTTTCCCAGGCCAGAGGGTGAGGGCGGGGGATTAATACAGGAGTTAAAAGCCCGTTAGCACCGGGAGCGAAATCGTGTTTATTTTATTATCTATAAATTCGGTTCTGAGTAATTATATAAATGATGGAAATCATATCTAGAAGGTGCCTTAGGCCATGCCGCCTTTGGCGCTCATGGGCAATGGCGTCATCTATCCTAAACAAAATTAAATTTATTTCTCAAAATGTTTTTTATTATGTAATATTTAAATTTTATTTCATTTTATATTTCTCAAATACAGTTATTTTAATACGTTTTGTATTGTTTTTGATTGACGAATAACTCTGACGATCGTCGACACAGGCCAATTCGACAAGTCGGTTGCCAAATCCTAAGCCCGGCATTGGCCCTAGGTTTTACTCATAACTTAATTACTTACTCGAACAAAAATCTCTCCTTAATTCTGTCCATCCGGTTCCAGATCAATATATTCTCCACAATTACCTTTGTTGAATATTTCCTAAGACTTACTATTCTTCTTAGAAACAGAAAATTACTATCATGTTTCTCTTTGATTTTTCAAATTATTTAATGAAACGATCCTCCTGACCAAACTCCGAAATTTCTCCAAATTAAATATGGAATATGGAATATACAATATAATTATTTAATTTTTACTGATCACCCCAACCATTCCTCTCTTCAATTATTCACTACAGTCAACCATCAATCAACAATTACAGATTAAATATTGTTTTAAAAGGTTCCTTTCAGTTTGGTTGGACCCAAATAGCTATCTATCCGAATAAATCTCCTTTCTCCCGTTTTCCACTAACACGTGATGTTCCTCTGGGATCTTCACTCTCACCATCTTCCACTTACCACTGATAATATTACGTGGTTCCCTTAAAATCCGTCAGCTCCTAATCTTCTCCCACTTTGATTACGACGGGCGGGTATAGTATGGACTGTCTGGTAGATACGAGATGAGACTGAAGAGACAAATGAATTTTCCCATTAAATTAGACAATCCTTATAGGCGGGGACGTTTGTACAAATCTGGCTTATTACACGAAAAGAGTTAAGATCACATATTTCATTCACTTGTACAAATACTCGAGACAACTGTTACATTTTTATTCTCATAAAAAGAGAGAATTTGCTCATGACCACAGGACGTTTTCTGAGCTTCTATTTCGGAGCTTGTAATCCAACTTTATTCACTTTACTTAGACATATAGATAGAAAATAAACTATAATCTGGGACGAGATCCTCTATGAATAACAATTATAAACAAAAAACATATGTGACCAAAAACTACATTAATAAAAATTAAACAATATATGCAATATCTTCAGTGACAATACATAAACAACAGAAAGTAAAACCAATTTGAAAAATAAAAACAATTGAAATGAAAAGTAAAACGGAATTTAGGAAAAATAGAAAACAGAACGTTATAAAAAATATGAGTTAATTCTTCGATGTCGATTTCACGATTGTACAGCTTCATTTTAGGATTTAAAAAGGAATTGGTAAAGAAGGTATTTGAATCAGGACAAGAAATAGGCATGGCGGATATCAGATCGCAAGAAATTCCAGCAGGCAGTGAATCGGGCAATAAAGGAATGTTGAAATGTTTTAATTCTATGCGAAGGAGTATAAATGTCGGAAACAAGGTATCTTGTTTTCTGGGAATGGATTACAGATTTGAAGTGTAGGAGACTGTATATATAGGAAGGGTGCCGGGAGTAGGTAAGATGCAAAGATAGATTGTCGGCGTAAGGAAGGGAAGGACCCAATCTCCTCGCCTCGAAGTACCAAAGACAAATTTTAAGGAGTTCATGAGTCGCTTCAATCTGTCTTCGAGTACCATCGAAATGTAACCCTACACCACACAGCCATAATCAAAGTGGAGGAAAATAAGAGAGGATACGCGGAGCTTGCGGATAGATTGTGGGAGTAGATGACGGGAGCAATGGAATAACTTAAGGATTGTTAGGTTTTCCAGGAGAAATTTTTGTCAATGGTGATTCCTAGGTTTTTAACGGAAGAGCTGAATGTGATGGGATGATCGTTGATGACTAAAGGAAGAAGGAAGGAGTTTGATTTAAGGATAGAACTGGAACCTATAACAATGACCTGAGTTTTCATCGCGTTTAGCCTTAAATTATTGAAGCATGCCCAGGCACTGATCCCATCTAGGTCTTCCTGAATACTAGCGGCGAACACAACAAATAGTTCAGAAGGGTGGAAGGATAAATAGATTTGGAAGTCGTCAGCGTATAGATGGTTGATGAAATTAGAAAGATCATAGGATTTTAAATGGAGACGGGAAATGCTCGAACCTTGGGCCACTCCAGAGGACAGCGTAAGGAAGGCATATTCCTTATTAAATGCATATTAAAAGGATCGTGTAGTTTAGAGTCTTCAAGGGATTTAGAAATTTAGAATTGAGGTCGTAGTGCCCTCTTTCAGTGTCCATTGGCTTCTAATACTAGTGATGCGGCTGGAAAAGTGGCACTGGGATCTCCTGGAGTCTTGCTTTGCCTTCCACATGTGGGGGAAAAATCCTGGCTCGGAGATTCCTGGGCGAATGTATATATTGTATATAGGTATGATTGTGTTTATAAGTTTCTTTTTATGTTATTGTTTACTTTTTTTTTCTTTCTTCATCAGTATTATTTATTTACTTTTTATATTTATATTTATTTCTCTATTATTTGTATATGTTGTTTGAATGAGAACTCTTAGCCCTAATACTTATAGCCCTCCAGTGGCTGATTGTATTATTATTCAATAAATAGATAAAAAAAAAAAAAAACAAGAATTGAGGTCTTGTTTTCAAGAGGTTCGGAAAGTTTATAGAGAATGGAGATCGGGCGTGGAATAATCCTTATTATACGTATTATATATATATTTAAATTATAAATGTAAAAGAAAATCTGTATTTAAAATAATTTACGAACATTTATTTTATATATTTTTTTTTAATTATTGGGACATGTTTCAGCCCATTGTGTTTATTGCGGCTTGAATTAGACATGTCGTTGACCTAATATATTAACTTTTAATTCCTGAATCGAATATGACAAAATTGAGTTTCTTTTGGATTCTTGACAACTCATGTCATAGACTATTATTGGTGTTGGGATCTGGACAATATGCTTGCCATTCAAAACATTGGATTGAAGCGTTTCCCAGGTATCGCGAAATAGTGGTAGCTGTATAGAGCCTCTATACAATTATCGTGAATAAACAAAATTCATTTTCAACGTATGTACAAATTGGACAATAGCCTCCGAAGGAATTTCCTCTATGTTGCCTGCAGCTGTTAGAGACCGCTCTATTAAAATTAATTCTTTCTCAGCTTCCAAATTAATACCAGCCTAAATCATTACTCCTTCGTCTTGGAAAGCTCCTTGTTTGTGAAAAGGTTTATACCGCTCATTAATTCTTCTCCAAACTCCCTTCCGTCCGTTAGGTGATCTCTGACAAAACAGCGATTCATCTGAAAAGAGAACTTTTCCCTAATCATCCACGGTCCAGTTAATATGTTGTCTGATAAAATTTAATCAAACTGTCTTATGCTTTGGTTGAAATTATGTTCCATGAGGGGAGAGGGGGAGAGGGGAGAGGGAGTTCCTATTATAAAATTTCTAATGGATTACGCCACTTCGGTTTTTGGAACGAACTGGTCATACGATTGTCCTAAAAAATATGTTTGTATTTTCTTTTTATATGTGTTTGTTTCTTTTTCCATTTCACAATCTTTGCCAATTCAAATACATTATCACATTTATCAGAGCGTTTCTCATATAAATAGGTAAACACTGAGAGGCAAAAAAATTGATAACTCTTAAAAATATGCATATAACCATTCGTCGTTGCCAGAAGCATATTTTTGTATCATGCATTGTTGTTAAATCTATCGTAAAAAATAAAGCAAATTAGTTAAAAATAAATAAGAACGTATTTGAAATACCTACAACACTATAATCTGCAAGGGTTTGATGGGAGTTTACTATTTTGCACATACCATACACCCACCCACGGACGCACACATGCACAAATAATTGATTATTTGGACTCAGGGGACCTTAAAACATGTATTCCCGTTAAAAAATCGGTTTCGAAAATTTTCACGTTCGCAATACTTTCTCTTACTATATATTTCACGCATAGGGTAATTGTAAATAAGGTTCGATGCCGACGCTACCAGCAATTGTTAATTATATGCCACCCATTGAACCCCGTCAAAACTGATTCAGTAAGCTTATTAGGAATTCTATACATCTATAGACTAGCGCAAGGTTCTCCAATTTTTATGTTAATTAATCTAGCGGATCTCTAATTTATTTTATTTCAGTTCATTCCTCATATAGTCCTAAGTGTTGAAAAAAAATATATTAATTTATGAATTAGTTTTCATTTATTTACTTGAGTGATCAAAAATGATAACAGATTTTTAAAAATGATATGATAGCTTAATTAGTATTTTTAATTTATTTATTTGATGGTTTAAGGTTCTGAAAAAGGATGTGATTATCCAAGATGATGATGTCGATTGTACTATGACAGAAAAAAGGATATTGGCACTTGCTGCAAAACATCCTTTTCTGACCGCATTACATTCATGTTTTCAAACAAAGGTATCTTTCACTTATTGTCATTCAACAATTTTATGGATTCATATTCGCAATAACTTAATTATTTGTATTTAATATTGCTTTAAATTTATTTAAATAATGAACGATGGTTGTTGTTGTTTTTTTCTTTAGCTTATAAATCGTAAATATCAACATGGTTATTTTGAAATCAAATCACCATTAATTACTTCGATATTTTTTAGGAACGTTTGTTTTTTGTTATGGAGTATGTAAATGGAGGTGATTTAATGTTCCAAATACAAAGGGCAAGGAAGTTTGATGAACCTAGAGCTAGATTTTATGCTGCTGAAGTGACTCTAGCGTTGCAATTTTTACATAAAAATGGGGTGGTCTACAGGTGAGTTAAGCCAGTTAATGAATTTATTCATTAAATAAACTATTTATTTTTCTACATAATATGTAGAAAAATATTTTTTAATACTCTCATTTTACACAGAGATCTCAAACTTGACAACATATTATTAGACAATGAAGGACATTGTAAGTTGGCTGACTTTGGAATGTGCAAAGAAGGGATCATCGATGGAGTCACAACAACTACGTTTTGCGGAACCCCAGATTACATTGCTCCGGAGGTATCTTAATAGATTAAACTGTGACATTAGTACGATTAAAATTCCCCCTTCTTCTTGATATTCTATATATTCTATATATATATATATATATATATATATATATATATATAATATATATATATATATATATATATATATACATATATATATATATATATATATATATAATATATATATATATAATATATATATATATATATATATTTTTTTTTTTTTTTTTTTTTATTTCAATATGTTTTGCTCTATAACTTGATGCATGAGCATCGTGTGTCTCAATTATGGAGGAGGACGATGACAGACCGCGAAATATATAATTTCTCTGTATTAATACGGAATAATTTTAAAAATTGTTAATATATTTGTATAATAAAAAGTAATTACTAATTTTAAGTAAATGCAATAGATAGTATTTGTATTTTCGGTAAAATATAAATACTGATGAAATTATTTAGATTTTACAAAAAACACAAATTGGCCATTCTTATATTATTTGACCATTTGATGTCCCCGGCCATTACAATAGTGTTTTGTGTAACATTCAAACTTTAAAAAAATTGTATTAATTTGTATGGTTTTGTTTGGAAGGGATGCGATTATAACATTAAAATAAAGTTATCACATCGTTATAACTATTTCGTTATAAAAATAGAACAAGACAAGAATTTTACGAACCCCAATATGTGGTTGAGAAGCTCATGTCGTTTTGAAGTGATATACCCAAAATTGGTTAACTTTAATTCTAATTAAATTCAATTAAATATTTTGCTGTAACTTCGAATTTCAATAACTAAAAATACTGAGGTATTAATTCGTTAGTGATTGAAAAATAACCAGAATTATCTTAATTTATTCGTTATTCAATAAGCAAATAATCACTGCATCAAAATTTATTCAGTGAAAATTTTGGCTAAATAAACATTTATTCATGAAAAAAATTCACTGAATAGCAATTATTCAAGTATTAATCATGCTATAAATAAATAAATATATATATATAATATCTAATACAAAGCTATAATATTAAATACAAAACTAAATGCGCGATGGTACTACCTAAATCCAACAGGATTTAAAAATAATATGATCTCAACAACACAATATAGGCCCCTTATGTCAAATAAATTGGATATGATAAAAAAACTTGATGCACGATTTTGTAATCTTAAATCCGACTGTATTTTGATAATTAGCGTCCTCGACGATAGTCGACCTTTATATCGATTAAATTCGAAAAGGTACAAATACGTGATGCGCGATTATACAATCTTAAATCCGACAGTATTTTCATTAAAAGTGCCTTCGACAACATAATCGACGATCCTTACATCGATTATATTTGAAAAGTTACAAAAAAGTAAATTATTTATTACCAATTCCATGGAAAATGAAAAATTCCACCATACTTTTATTTTTAAATAAGTTAATAAGTTAGATTAGAGTAGCCACCGACGCCACAAGTCTGTCTCGTTATCAGGGGTGCCCAGAAAGGAGTTTCATGACGCAATTTGCGCCATCATAATTTTTGAGGGGGTCATATTTTTACGGGTTTTTGAATTTTTGAGAGGGGCAAATTTCGACAGAGTTATGAATTTTCATACAAAGGAACAAGGGGAAAACATGCAACAGACCGCAGCAAGTGTAATTGCATATAATCTACGGTTTTTCCAATTCTACTTTCACTTGCTTTGTTTTTAAGAAAAGGTGAATAATAAAATATCTTGGGAGGAGGGGGAGGGGTAGGTTTACAATTACACTTGCTGTGGTCTGTTCAGTCTTCTCCTTATTCTGAAACTTTTCAATTCGAAAATGCATAACTTCACATGGAATGCACTAACACTATAATATTAACGAATATTATCTTTATTTTAATTAATTAAATGTGTACGTTAATAAAATAAAAAAAAGAAAAGAAAATACTTCCTGCAACTGACTAAATTATATATTTTATTTTAGATTCTTCAAGAACTTGAGTATGGGCCTAGTGTCGACTGGTGGGCTTTGGGTGTTTTAATGTATGAAATGATGGCTGGTCAACCCCCCTTTGAAGCTGATAATGAAGATGATCTGTTTGAATCAATTTTACATGATGATGTGCTCTACCCTGTATGGTTATCAAAAGAAGCTGTGGCTATTTTAAAAGGGGTATGTTGATATTTTGATTTATTATTAAAACTCATACTGAGCAACACAAAAGCAATCAATTCATAAATTAGATATGATGCATAATTCAAATAGATTTTTTTAACACAGCTCAGAAAAAGTCATTACAAATCTGGTAATGTATTACATATAATAACAGTAAGTTTTGTTGCTGTATTAAATTTTGATAATGTTCTAAAAAATTAAACTAAATAAAAAATTAATATCTCATTTTATTGCAGTTCATGACAAAAAATCCAAGCAAAAGGCTAGGTTGTGTCAGTGTACAAGGAGGAGAGCAAGCCATAAGAGCCCACAGTTTTTTCAAAGATATGGATTGGGAAGCCTTGGAGAACCGCAGATTGAAACCACCCTTTAAGCCAAAAATTGTAAGATAGAGAATTATGATAAGTAAATCTTATGAGGAATTTAATAAGAATATGTTTATCTATTGAGAATTTAATTTTTTAAAAGTTTCTATAAAGCCAAAATTACTGTTTTTCTTACATGTATCAATAATATTATTTTCAATACACGTGTAAGAACATTTAGGACCCTAGCAGTTGACTGTCCATAAGAAATTTAACCTAACCTTTTCTATGGCTCAAAAGTTAGGAAGATCAAAAGATCCATTTCTCGTTAGTTTCAGGTATTTATTAATTTATACTTTGAAATGGTTCCTGGGAGAGCATGTGGAAAACATTATTCCAAATATGATATAATTTATCCAAAGAAGATTTCAGACTGTAAGTAAACGGCACATTTTAGGAAAGTTATGCAGTACTATGAAAGATACGATCATATACTGTACACAATAAACAAAGCCATGCTGTATTCCCACAAAAGAAGTGGGAAAGTAAAGTAAATAAAAAATAACTATGAACTTTGAAATATTTGATCAAATTAAAACAATATCAATAAAATATAAAAACCGGCAAAGTTTTTTTTCAGGCACTCCACTCAAAATAAAGACGTGATACTTGTATGTGTAGCTAGTTTAATATTGCATTTGCTCATTCAGAATATTTCTGACTATATTTATACTATTATTCAATTAAATGTTGCTAGATTAGTCATTAATAAATATTTGAACCTGGTCAGATAGGAGGACAGTTTATTCATGAGGTAGTCTAAATATTTTTTTTCCTTTACAGAGAGCCGTGTTGAATAAGACCACCATTAAACTCCACTCAGAGCTCTATTTCATCATCTATTACTTTCATCAATCAAACAAATATCTCATTTATACGATTAATAAACAAGCAATAATAAAGTAATTTTCCACAACATAACATATTGATTTGTGGCATAACATAACATAAGACTTTTTTTATTCATTTAACTCTATAACCTTATTCTCTCTATATCTAATTTGACTCACTAGTGGATCAAGGATTTAATTTTGGGGGGGTGGGGAGTGACTTCAGCCCATAAGCTTTTTTTTTCATGTATATAACGCTAATTACTTTGAAAAAAAAAGAAAGATACTAACTACCTATATGAAATGGTGTTTAAGTGATTCTTGAAGTCCTATTAAATTACACGAACAATAATATTTTAAAATATAATTCAGCCTCTTATTACTCAGCCACCCCTCCCTCCGCTCCCTCCCCTGTAGATCCGCCTGTGATTTGACTCAACAACTTTGTCAGGGCTCATTATTGATGAAATATTTGCCACATAACTCGGCTATTTATGAAATCAAAAAGAGTAAAGTACTTCCTTATACCATATTATTTGAAGAAGTGAATTGCCGAATAATAGATACTTTCCAGAAAAAACATAATTTATTCTTACAATTGTTACAAAATGGTCATTTTATTGTTTATTTACTTTTAGACAATTCTCTATTCTCACAATTCTATATTTAAGTACATAGAACTACTTCAATGACTTTTTATACATTTCAGTACAGTTTGCATTGTTGTATGGTTATTTACAAAATCGTGTATTTTTCTCTCCTGTGATCAGTTTTATTCATTAATGTTTAAAAAAGAATATATATAAAAAGTTTTACTGCAATATTTACCCAATATAATGCTTTACAGTCTGAAATAATACGTAACATAGATAATTCTCTTTGTTAAGATTCTGAAGTAAAATGAAAAGGGTTCCTTTCCGTTACTAAATCTGTTGTCAGAATAGTATGGGTTAATTTTTTGTTTTATCATTTTATAAATAAGTAAATTATTCGTTACCAGTTCTATGAAAAATAAAAAAATTAATTTTTGTAAACAATGTGACTTAATGTTCCAACTTAGTTTTACTATATTTATTTAGATTTTTATGTTTAACTATGTTTCTACGTTACAAATACCATTATATACTATATATTACTTTTAATAAATGGTTTAAGATCATTTTTAGGTATAAAAATTGATTTTTTACTACCTATTTCTTGGAAAATTTAGACCTTCAGACCCGAGCCCTAGTTACAGCACAGGAAAATAGACATAATAAACAACATAATTTGTACTTTCATTAAATTTTGTTCCATAACTTGGTGATAAAAATTGTAATCTGCAGAGTCCGCCCTAATTTCGCTAAGTCAACACCCCTGTGGGGAGGTTGAAATGGTCTGGAAAGGGTATTTGCAAAATAGTTCACTGAAAGCTTAACAAGTAAGGTATTATCTCTTTCAGCTATTTTGTTTCTTAACTGAATGAGACCCATTCACATGGTAATAGAGTAAGTATTTTCAAAGTTATGGCCAATTTATTAAATGACATATACTAATAATTTGTGGAATGATGTTATTTAAGAAACATTATAAATAATTGTACCCAGCTGATAATTGATAAGACTTATCTAATTGATAAGAAGCTGAATAGATTACATGTCTTTGTATTTTAAGTACAAAATCTCCTCAACCACATCTCTTCTTATTTCACAAACACTGGCATTTAAAAACAAAAATAAATCAGTGCTTCATAAGGCCAAACTGTAAGGATGATCATATATTTGCAAAAACATAAAGGTTCACTATTGGTGGAAATTAACTGCTTTATACAGACAAATAGATTAATCTATATGTCTAATATATATTGATGTCTGTCGAGTGTACATATTAATATATGTGAAAATCATGAAAGCAATAAAAAAACATTCAACTGTGGCTTTTGAAAGAATGAGACTGTTACTACTGAAAGATAGGTAACAGGACTTTGATCCTCAATTGTCTTGGTTTCTCCTATCGTCAGTCTTTATTTGAAATAAGTAGTTTTCAAATTCCGACATTTTAGAAAATAAATAAGCATTTAAAAAATTTGATTTTCATCATATTGAAATATATATATATATATATTAGTGTCCAGTTCTCACAGCCATATATTAGAACTGGCTTTATCATAGCCTTGTACACCATTAATTTGAGATTTTTCGGGATTTTAATACCTTTGAAAGGGAGAAAAAAGCTCTATTTGCGCTAGTTATATGCTGGTATATTTCTGACAGTTGGTCATTCACTGAGGTTATTGTGGAACCAAGATATTCGAATTTTTCTATTCTCAGGAATGATTTTCCTTCTATGCAGATCCTGTTATTCGGATGGGATTTTTGGCTTATTATCATATATTTTGTTTTTTCTTCATTTACTTGTAGGCCGATTTGCTTTGCCTCTCTTATCAGAGTCTTAGAAAGTTTCTCAATGTCCTCTTAATTACTTCCAAGAACAGATATATCATCTGTGTATCCAAGGATTTTATGATTCATTCCGACATGGAACCCTCCATTTTTGCATGATGTTGTTCTTATCATCTTCTCTAGACCTAAGTTGAACAACATCAGTGATAGTCCATCTCCCTGCAATAAGCCCATTCGAACTCTGAAGGCTTCAGATACTTTTTCTTGTATTAGGACTCGACATTCAGGGTCATTTGTACACACGTTTGTCAATCTTACCAAATTACCGGCAACTCCCTGTTCATTCATGATTTTCCAAAGACAGCTCCTGTCCACAGAATCATAGGCTGCTTTGAAATTGACAAATAGGGTGTGGATGTCCTGAGCTAATTCCCATCGTTTTTCGAGTACTTGTTTGAGGACGATGATCTGGTTTAGCGTGCTCCTCCCTTTTCTGAATCCAGCTAGGTGGTTGTATTGTTTTCATAACACGGATATATAAATATCTGTCATCATTTTCAATTAGCAAAAAAAAGAAATGTTTAACTCTGTTGTTAGAAAATGCATTTTATTGTACATTATTATGTGTGAGAAATCAATATGTGTTGAAAAGAGAAAATAAATTCTAGTCACAACCCAGTTTCTTTATTTTAATTTATAAAAAAATAACTATTTTATAATTCTTTTAAGAAATTTTGAACAAGAAAAAATTAATAATGAAGTTACCAAATCTCCCAAAACAACTTATTACATAATTAAATGTAAATCAAATAGTTTATAGTTTAGTTTTATGAAATAATTTATTTAAAAAAATTTATGTGAGATGTCCTCGAGATCTTACTTAGAACTATTTAGGGAGTGTATAGTACCATTGGGTATTATCTCAACAAATCGGCTCATGCCATTATTGCTAATTTTTTCACATTTCCTGGTTGTTTTTATTTAATTCAATTGTAAAATTCAATAAAAAAAATACTTATACATTTCTTTATTATTATAAAATTTTTTTTTTTTTTTTAGAAGAGCAAAAAAGACGCCCTGAATTTCGATGCTGAATTCACCAAGGAGGAACCTGTACTCACACCCATAAATGGTGACGTTGTGAGATCAATCAATCAGGAAGAATTTAGAGGTTTTTCATTTATCAACCCTGATTTCAACCCTTCTAAGTATAATTATTGTGAAAAGAACTAGAAAAGGTAAATAATACTATAATAATAGAGAAATGATTTTAAAATAAATTATAATGCAATCAGTTGAGAAATCTTCTTTTTTGAAGATGTGCACTCCATTATCCAATAAGATGCTTTAATCGAAAATTCCATACAGTGAAGTTATCTCCCGCCAAAGAGGCAAAGAATACTTCTCTCTAGTCGTGTTCATGTATTAAA